GATTATCTTCTCGCAGTTTGCTGTACCCTTCGACGGCAAGACCAAACGTGCGGGCATTTTAGTCCATGGCATGTGGATTGGTTGGTCTCTGGAGCCGTTGTACTCGTGCCGGACCCCAAAATACGCGTTTTACAGCGGGCCATATAATGGCCCGAGTGCGCCGCGCCAAAATGCTGCGCCATGCCGTACAACTTATAAATCCAGTCTCTTGGCACGGCAGAATGTGGCGACAGGTCCAGACCATTGGCGGAGAAGTTCACAGTGGCATTGAGGTCACAGGTCCAGACATATTGTGCCAGGTGTTATCCTGTCGCAGCAAAAACTGTGCCAGATGTCGGATTACCAAGGATGCCTGGTAATCTCTGAATTTTGAAGTTTTTTTTAGCACTTTTGACACTTCTAGCACGTAGAGCACGTAAGCTTTCTTTCTCTGTCAAGCACCCCTTCCTCGATGACGAGGCCAAAGCAGTCCTGCAAGCGCACATGCCTCGTGATGGATGGGATCGGCAGGCTCAGGTCCCAGACAGAGTCAAACGTCACGGACGCGTGACCGCACACCGTGCACCGAGCGTGAACTTGAGCTGTCGGACAAACGAGTCGATGAACTACAAGTTCTTCGGGAGAAGATGGGACGAGCACAACGGCTCCAGTGTCCACCCGATCGGCATGCATCACGCCAACAGCTGCGAAGCGTACGTGCTGTTTTTTGGCTGGCCAGTCATTGACCTGGGGCCGATCTGAACGCCATTACTCGAAGGAGTTGGAGAGGACTGTCTCATCCCTGGTTACGCCGGTTAAACACTGCGATTGCATTTATAAACGGGCTTGTCTTCACCATACACTCGCTGTAGAATTTTAGTCCCTCGAGCGCGTGGCGCAGTTGGCACACACAGCTCGAAAGGATCATCTGAAGAGGATTAGTGGGCGAGAGTGGAGTGGTGTGCAGTGGAGTGTGGCGAGGAAAGTGTAGACGCTCACAACCTGTCTGATGCTATCGTATAAAGTGCCCGCTTCAATTGTGAAAAATGTGGCACCGATAGTGTATCAGTTAAGCCCCGTGTCTGGAAGACCTGACGTTTGGGGCCAATTCCCCGCGGTACCCCTCCTTCCTGTCAGGATGAAGGAAGCAGCGGAGTGCGTCGTAAAGCCTCCATGACGGTGATTGGGGAAAATGGTCGCTTGTTGATTTGCACTGCATACACGCCTAACTCACATCAGAAGTTAGTGGATAATTCCACTTTTGAAACAGATTTTCCCGGGATTTCTGCACTCTGATCTGGGGTTTTTATCTTAGACAATTGGCAGCGCTGTCAGAGAGCCAGACTGAAACAGGGTTTGTTTGTCCTCGACATTACGAGTCACATTCAAATATCATGACAAAAGTTGTTTGCTAAATTGGTCATGCTCTGCTGATACGATAGGAGGCGGGTTCTTCGAACCGAACTATGCTGGGCGAGACATCTGACCTCGAAACCATCCGTGTAAAATATCCCGTCAGACCAGTACAGTCTACAACAGCAGCCAAGCTGGTGAAACGGATTGCAGGTGCGGCATTGAGAACAGGTGGGAAAACTCCCTGCATCGCAGAGGATCAGGGCTATTGCAACAATTTGCGCATGTTTACTCGCATACAGGCATATCATCAACACCCTCTCTGCATTGCCAAGTTCTGACATGTTCATGCATTAAGAATCAGCATCGTAAGGAAGCGCTTGCTCGGCGCCTGCCTGGCAGGGGTCTCGTCAGGGTCTGAGGGCCGAACGCCGCCACCGTCGCCTGCCGCTCGGCCGCGTTCGGCCGGGCTCGGGCCGGGCCATGCGATGGGAAACACTCCGCGGCACGCGGCGCGCGTCTCCGCTCCTCTCCGGTGGCTCGACGGCCAATTAATCGGGCCCGGCCGGGCTCGTCCGGCACGTGCGGCACGCCCGGACGTCGGTCTGGAATGGGGCGCGGCACCCGGCGGCGCCCGGCGGCGGCCCGGCCGGCGCCGCCGCGCCACCGCCGACGGTGGGGCCGACACTGCCGCGCCGTCACCCACAGCGGAGCAGACACTGCCGCGCTCTCACCCACAGCGGAGCAGACACTGCCGCGCCGTCACCCACAGCGGAGCAGACACTGCCATGCCGTCACCCACAGCGGAGCAGACACTGCCACGCCGAGACTAATGGCGGAACAGACACTGTGGCACCGGGCTGATAACGAACAAGACACTCGTACCGCTGCTGACAGTGTACCGGACACTGCCATACCGCGGCTGACAGTGGACCGGGCACTGTCATACCGCGGCTGACATGGACAAGACACTGTCGTACCGCGGCTGACAGTGGGCCGGACACTGCCATGCCACAGCTAACAGTGGTCCGGACACTGTCGTGCCGTGGCTGACATGGACCGGGACACTGTCATACCGTGGCTGACATGGACCGGACACTGTCATACCGCGCTGACATGGACAAGACACTGTCATACCGTGGCTGACATGGACCGGACACTGTCATACCGTGGCTGACATGGACCGGACACTGTCATACCGCGGCTGACAGTGGACCGGGCACTGTCATACCGCGGCTGACAGTAGACCGGACACTGCCATGCCGCGGCTGGGAGCGTGTTGTTGCGCTGAAGCCGCCAGGGGAGAGGACACTGCCGTATCTCGGTTGACAGAGGGCCACAGCGAGCCGACGCCGTCGTGCCGCGTCTTCAGCGCGACGCTCTCAGCTATGTGTGGAGGTGGCTCATCTCCACCGCTCCACACGACTGGGCAGTAAGGGAGAGGAAAACTGCACTCACAAGCTACAGCGTCTGAAAACACTGCAGTCGTTTGGACGCAAGGACATCCGACGCAACGTTTTTTTTCAGATAGTTTCGAGGACACGGAAGAAGAAGAGGAGGTTTTTGGCGCGTCCTGCTGTTTGCGATGCTTCTGGTTCTAAGAAATAAGCTATCTTCCCCAATGCCGAGCCCCCCCCCCCCCCTCCCCTCCAATTCCCAGCAATCGTGCTGTTTGGTGTTGTTAGCCCGAATACAAACTAATCAGATGGTGTGGTGAGCCCTGGCGAAACTGATGCCGATATCAACGACCGAAATGTCCCACTCTGTACCGTAGCCCGCCGCTGAGGTACGCCAATGTACACTGAAGTTTCTACGTGAAGTTATAGCACAAAGAATTTCACCTTTGCATGCCGTTTTGTCAATTGTTCCTATAGCAACGCATGCCGCATTTCTGAAAGCCAAATATAATCTATGAGTTTAATAAAGCTTTTAATACGAGGTTTTCATGTGACGCAATGCATTTCTTTGCGTTGCGCACAAGGGTGTAAAGCCCCGGCGAGGGACTGCCCGTGGTGCGCTGTTACCAGACGTGCAGGAAGCATGGATTGAAAAGGGACACGAATGTCACGTTTCTAAACGGACACAAGCTTTTTAAGGGGACACATACACTTAAAAGGGGAAGCAAATTTCACAAATTTCGGTAAGCACACATAAAACAACGTCCGATTGAAGGCCCCACCAAGAACAAAATGCTCGCAAGAACTGTGTATGAAACTTGCAACCGTTTTATCCAAGAGAAGTCCCACTTCAACGGAAATATTCCAACACAGGTGTAAAAGCTGAAGGAAGAGGTTGTGGCATGGCACGTACACATGCCACTGCAACTTTGCTACTAAGACTCTGATGATGCGTGGAAAATGTCAAACGGAGTTTTAGACAACCCATTTTGAGACATCCCCAGTCAAAGTGAGTCTAAGGCAAGCCTGGCGGAATCAAACGAGTTACAACCATAGCTTGAAATACACGGCTGCTAGCATTAGGGTTCCCAATACATTCTGTCCCCAGCCACCCAGTCACCAATGACCGGCGCTGGCCGCGGGGCAACTGCACCTTGACAGGATAATCATGTCGCTTCGAGACAGGTAAACGCTTGTGTTTGACGGCTCTGTGAGACCTTCTGCCTTATTGGCCATAAGCGTGTAACTGCACGCGATTGTTTCGTGTGTGGCATCGGGGCCGTACATGACGTGTTTTGGGGTGGTAGGAGGTGATGGGGTTGTCGGACAGGTCCAGACGCCTGTCAGTGGCGTACCTCGAGGTGGTAGGAGGTGACGGGGTTGTCGGACAGGTCCATGTGTCAGGTCAGTGACGTACCTTGAGGTGGTAGGCGGTGACGGGGTTGTCGGCCAGGTCCATGTGCCGGTCAGTGACACGCCTTGAGGTGGTAGGAGGTGATGGGGTTGCCAGACAGGCCCATGTGCTGGTCAGTGACGTACCTTGAGGTGGTAGGAGGTGATGGGGTTGTCGGACAGGTCCAGACGCCTGTCAGTGACGTACCTTGAGGTGGTAGGAGGTGATGGGGTTGTCGGACAGGTCCAGGTGTCGGTCAGTGACATGTCTTGAGGTGGTAGGAGATGATGGGGTTGTTGGACAGGTCCATGTGCCGGTCAGTGACATGCCTTGAGATGGTAGGAGGTGATGGGTTTGCCAGACATGTCCAGATGTCGGTCAGTGACGTACCTTGAGGTGGTAGGAGGTGACGGGGTTGCCGGGCAGGTCCAGGTGTCGGTCAGTGACGTACCTTGAGGTGGTAGGAGGTGACGGGGTTGCCAGGCAGGTCCAGGTGTCGGTCAGTGACGGACCTTGAGGTGGTAGGAGGTGACGGGGTTGCCGGGCAGGTCCAGGTGTCGGTCAGTGACGTGTTTTGAGGTGGTAGGAAGCGGCGGGGTTGCCAGACAGGGCCATGTGTCGGTCAGTGACGTACCTTGAGGTGGTAGGAGGTGACGGGGTTGCCGGACAGGTCCACAGGTCGGTCAGTGACGTACCTTGAGGTGGTAGGAGGTGATGGGGTTGCCAGACAGGCCCATGTGCTGGTCAGTGACGTACCTTGAGGTGGTAGGAGGTGACGGGTTTGCCGGACAGGTCCAAGTGTCGGTCAGTGACGTGTTTTGAGGTGGTAGGAAGCGGCGGGGCTGCCAGACAGGGCCATGTGTCGGTCAGTGACGTACCTTGAGGTGGTAGGAGGTGACGGGGTTGCCGGGCAGATCCAGATGCCGGTCGCGCAGCGTCTTGAGCACAGAGAGCACTCGCCGCCGGCAGCCGCCGTACAGCAGCCGGTTCTCGGCCTCACTGAACGTCAACACCCAGGCGTCGCCCTCCATTGAGTTCTGCTTGCTCTGGATCGCCTGGCTCTCCTTGCTGAGCAGGTCGAAGCCTTCGGCCTTGACCTCAGCCACCAGGCTGGGGTTGGGCCACGGGATGCCGGGCACGGGCCAGTGGGCGGCTGAGCGCGGCCACACGCCGGCGCAGCGGAACGACTGGCGTCACCTGCACCACGTAGCGGTCGCGGATACGCAGTTTGACCTCGGTCGTGTCGCCGATCATCTTGACGCAGTCGCGGTAGTGCGACTTGTCGCACGCCTGCGCGCACAGCGTCTGCAGCTTGGCGCGCATCTTGCGCGCCGACAGGTAGCCCGAAGCGGTGATGAACTCGATCCAAAGCGACATGCTGCGCTTGCGGCCGTCACTCAGCTTGAGCACCGAGCAGCCGGGGATGGTGCCGTCGTCGACGAAGTTGAACTCGCCCATCTGGTTGAGGTAGAGCACCACCTCGAACTCGGTGGGCGAGAGCACCTCGAGCCCCTCGAAGCGGCCGTTGCACTCGGTGAGCGAGGAAATAACGCGCGGCTCCTGCACCTCCACCTCCTTCAGGATGTCCTGCACCACCTTGCACACCTCGCGCACCGTCTTGGCGATGGCCACCTTGCGCGCCTGCACTCGCTCGGCGTAGTACTTGTTGAACTGGTACATGGCCTGCGACTGGGACGAGAGCACCTCGGCCGAGAGGTGGCCCAGCCCGTCGGTCGGCATCTTCGCCAGGTCTAACATGCGTGCCGGGAAGAGAGCCGTCGGGCCGCCCGCCGCCGCCGCCTCCGCCGCGCGTCTCCCGTGGCTCGGCCGCGGCCGCCGCGCCCGCCGCCGACGGCAGGGGCGGGGCCTGCACGACGCCGCCGCCGATTGGCCACGGCTGGCCGGGGGCGGGGCGTCGCGCGCTACGATAACAAAAGGAGGAGTGGACCCGGTGAGAAATTGCTTCTTCCGTGGTAAATGGGCAGGTAATCGCCGTATCAGCTGGTGGACCGGGGAAGTGGAGCCGAGGGGAGGGGAGTACATGAGAGACCGGCCAACTACCAGCTGTCTCAGGCTGAATTTACCGTCTTTTATTGATACAAGCGTGACAGAGGCACTGTTCATGCATATATATACCTGATGAAGACTGGTTATGGTTTAAGCTATATATAGAGGCGGAATATATTAGGCTATTTATTACATCAGGTCTTGCACAGGGTAACTTGCAAGGTGCCTTTGTGCAGTTACAGATCATATGGATGTTGACAGAGGGGTGCAGGCATGTAACTGCGCACAGAAGATAAACGCGACAGCCCAAACAAAAGTGTGGAAACCACTTGCGCCTCCAAATATCGAGATGGAGGCAGAAAAACCAGAAAGACTGCAGTACACGCATGCAATCCTACCGTGTAAGACATGCTTCTCCCCTGATTTGGTCCATTATTTTCTCACGGTTTGAGGGGAGGGTCCGGAGCCCTCCCAGCTGAAAGCGAAAACTTTAGCCTGGGGCAGTGATGTAGCAATCTGTTTTCATTATATCATTGGTACGAAAGCAGAAATGACAGCCAGCAACATGTGAGGCATGACTACGTGTATGGTCGCACATGGTGAGGCAGCCGGTGCATTCTTCACCATGGATGACAGAAGTGAAACGCCATTTCGTTTACAGAAAGCAGTACACGGTCATTTCGGAATAAACTGCAAAGCTACCGGCCATTTTGTACAGTTGAACAGTGTTTTGATTTTGCTGAGCCCAGACTAGTCCGGAAGTGGACGCTCATTCGTGTCGATCTACACACTGTTGATCGACACGAATGAGCTGTTGTCGATCAACTACGAGCTAAACTGTTGACGATATAATTCGGTCGTATGGCCTATCTTGAATAAAATCATAGCCTAACAATGCTCATTTCAGGAGAGTTTTCCATGGGAAACTCGCGCTCAGAATAGCGTGTCGAGCCAACTCAGCGATATCAGGTTTAGCAAGGTGCGTTTTCTCCGGGGCAGTTTTTTCAGCAACGTTTTCTGCGCTGCATATCGCGTGTGGGCAGAGGGAGCGAGAGAAAGACCATGTGGTCACCTTTCGAAGTTTCAGACAAATGTGCAGGCATAATTAATCATTTTTGTATATGAGAGTAGCCCGAATGAGATACTCCTTTATGTAAACGAGTGTCTATACACGCAAGCTCAAAACACAATATCGACATGAACAACGGAATGCAGGTTTTTAATCCAAAATGGCTGCCGGTGCAATCGACTCCAGGACAATGCAGCTTCAGCTGAAAATCTCCAACTGAGATGACTCACGCCTGTGAGAGGCAAGCCTGCCCGCATTGTCACTCAAAACCTGGGCACAAGCACGTCCAGTCTATCTTCGAATGGTGGGAGCACTTTTATCATAATCAACGTAAGCTACTGTCTGTGGTTTAAAATCAGCCTGTGAGCTATTCTGACAGCCCCCACACCAGCTTTGGACCACGAGATGGCTCTGAGCTAAAGACGCAACTTTTCAGCCCGCCACCCCGCCTATTTCTGACCCATGAGAATTCGCGGGCTCTTGGCTGGTTTACGGGCCAGACCTGGCGGACTTTTACGAGTAAAAAATATAAACAGGCATAAAGATGCATTTTGTTGTCATTCATAAGGTCTCAAAATCGTCCCCAAACCAGAGTGTGCTGCCAAACACAACTCAACCGTTAAACAAACATGCTTTTATTTTCAACTGCAAGAGCACTGGTGACAAAAAACTCATAGTAGACATGACAAACCAGTAAGCCAGAGTGCATGAATCGAACAGCTTTGAGCAAACATCTCACTGAAAAAAAGTTCGAGAACAAAAACCCATATTCTCCAAACTATAGCTTAATTTCATCGAGCAGTAGTTAGGTGGGTCCTTAATATAGATGCAGCCACATACCGCACTTGGCATTTATTGTGAAAGTGTGGTGCACTCAGCCTTTCTTGGTTTGCGCAAAAGCCATACCTCACAAATCACAAACAACATCCTTGATTAATGAATTGCATGAGAAACCGCGAGCCTTTTATTGTCCCCGCTTTTACTCTTTTGTCAATACGGTCAGCAGTTCCTGGCGTATCAAACTTGCGACAGTTGTTGAAACTGAAAAAAATGGCGCCGTAGGGTATGTTTAGAATATGTTTACTATGTCTGAAGAAGATGTAATTTGCGCCCACGACTACAGCGTGCTTACACAATACGGTTTTTTCCTAAGGCGATTAGAACTTTTTCCGACATATTTTTCTCGGAGGCTTGTGTTCTGTCTGATTTGTTTTTTCTTCAATATTGGCATCTGTATGCAGCTGTGTGAAAAAATTATTCAACATATGTCGTCGATGAGGCAATCGATAAAGATGGAAAGTTGTGGTCTGCGTCCTCTGTGAACTGTTGGAAGATTTCCTAGACGTTGTTTTGCAACTTTTTTGTATTCATAAAAGCTTTTCTGCAGCATGCAAAAATATGTCTCCGTTTTTGATGGCATTGCCAAATGTCGATGTTGCCACTGGATGGGTAAATACTCCTTGACTAAGTAGCATTGCTTTCCTTACTTTTAAGCCGTGTGAAGCGGTGTGGCGATGGCTGTGAGGTGGAGTGTGGACAGTGGTAAGAGAGAAATGTGGATCATTTCAACCATACCATGTGGCTTTCATGTGTAGTGGTTGCATAAAGTATCAACTTAAGGACAGCAAACACCATACAGGAGGCTTGATCTGGTTTTTCAATAAGAAATATGGTATTGTGGCAATTGTGACGCAGTCGAATAATGGTTGGGCTTATGTACATTGTAATGAACTGACGCTTTCCATGAATTGAAACATCCGACATGTTTTGTGCCGTGCAAAGTTAGTGCAAAGCTGTCTTTTGATGCATACAGTTTTAGAAGAAATGGCTTGCGGTCTGTTGCGAAGAGATGGAAGTGTGAAATCTTTAAGGCATTTCGGTGAAGGGTAAATTCATGTTGCACCCTCTTCCTTCTCATTTATGGTTTGAAAACTGCCATGAAAACTGATGCTCAAGATAGACTTTCGTACTTATAAATGTCAAGGAGCAGATACTACGATCGCTGCTTTCTTAGCAACATCACTGCTAATTGGATACATCATCACTGGATACAGAGCCAAGCAATACTGTGCATCAGATGACACTTGCATGCCATTTTGTGCACACTGTAAGGTACATGTTTAAAAGTAAGGTGAAATGATAAAATGCATATTGCAATAAATAAGTTCTCGAGGGGTTAATGGCGAATCAGCATTGAAACATAGCGGGTTTTGCGGACTGGATCACTATCTAGGCGGGGCGGGCTGGGCTGAGGGCTGATATTTTGGAGAAAGTTTCGTCTCTTCTCTGAACAACTGAAGAGACGAGAATACATACATTATCATTATCATTATCACCCCGTACAATACACTATCACCCCGTCCGTGACCAGCGTCCCGAAAATATGCGGAAGTAATGGAGCTGGCCGAAGTCCGAAACGTCCGGAACACTAAGCAGAGGCTGTTTCAGACGATCAAGGAGAACTGGGTGGGCCACCCACCACTGGCACCAAAAGAAACAGCCGAGTTAGCATGACTGACGGGTACACCAAACACGCCAGGGTTAACCGGGATTAACCGTCAACAAACTTCCTGGAATAGCCGCTTTTGAAACGACATGTACCTGGCTCTTGATTCCCAGACATGCTGTCACAACGAACGCATACTTCCAACTTTTCGTGTAAGCATGGCGATAACCCTGTGGCGATACATGAAAATAAGTCACTTGAACATAGCGTTGGGCCTCTCCCTCGCCTGGGGCCTCTCCCCACTTTCATACCATTTCAAGGCCCCTGTCGTTGCCAGTGTTCTTTCAGTGCCAAATTATGTAGCAATTTAGGTGGATAATTATGGCTGAAGTATTCACTTAACGCTTTTTTTGTTAGTTCTTCATAAAGTGATGAGTTTGGATAGGACCGTTTGCTAGGCATACTGTAAACCTGATTCAATGTCCGCACGCAGAGCAGGTGAGGTGTTAGGAGTAATGAAACAATACGGTAAAAGCTTTCGCATGACGAACATTTGAGTTGAGTGTCATCCGTGCGTACACATAAGCTTGTATCGCCCAATGCTCTGCTATCCATTGATTACACTTCGTAAAATCGGTTAGAAATGCATGTACCGAAAAGCATGGGATTAATTCATTTTTATCATTTCATGCTATATATTTTTCAACGGATATCTTCTTTCCCAATTTCCCTTGAGCATCATTGGATACAGAGGACTCGGCACCACGCTCACGGTGCAGCTACAAAAGCTGCGTCTCTGCTGGCAGTATTGGCGCCAGGCCGGTGTCAGGCACTTCTGCCGCGGCCTCGGTAACGGTGCGTTAGTTGTGATGTCGCCGCCTGCCGGCCGTGTTTTCCGTGGTTGGCTGACCGGGCTGACCGCGGAGGCTAACCACGCCAGACCGTCCCCCTGCCAGACCGTCCCCCTCCTCCCCGCCTCCCGCTGACCGGGCTGACCCCGGAGACCAACCACGCCAGACCGTCCCCCTGCCAGACCGCCCCCCTCCTCCCAACCCGCTGCTGACCAGGCTGACCAAGGAGACCAACCACACCAGACCGTCCCCCTGCCAGACCGCCCCCCTCCTCCCAGCCTGCTGCTGACCGGGCTGACCAAGGAGACCAACCACGCCAGACCGTCCCCCTGCCAGACCGTCCCCCTCCACCCCGCCTCCCGCTGACCGGGCTAACCCCGGAGACCAACCACGCCAGACCGTCCCCCTCCACCCCGCCTCCCGCTGACCGG